TTATGTTCGGAACCACATGGTCAGTCTGTGACCTTGCTACGCCATTACTTCCAACTGCTGTGACGTGTTTCATTCACTTATACATGTTTGATTTTTGCATGGATGTTCCAATCCCCAGCAACAGTGTACCAAAAAGTTCGTTATGCATTGAATACACTGCTATATGTGTATTAATTTGAAAAAAAACCCAAAAAAAACCAGAAAGCCCTGCCTCACAAGATCTTTCGCCCTTTTCTCGAATAACATCTGTAATAACATCAGTTTCAAACTTGTGTGACTGTGTATTTCCTTTTCCCAGACAAAACTATATTTATCATATAGGTTAATCTGTTGTTCTGGTGCTCATGGCAAACACGTTTGTAAATACAATTCACCGACTATATGAGGTTTGTGTCAGACAAATAAACCTAGCTCCGCACAGTAATTGGTACCTGTTTTCTCTGAACGTCCCGTGTTTCAGCTTAGTGACGGTTAATAAAATGCCATATTATGAGATTGGATTGGAGAGAACATACAATGAATAACTCTTTGCCGTGAATGCGCATTGTCTCTGACCAAGCCATAACACCACTGGGGACACAGTAATGGTCCCCATATGAGGAACCCTGTTCTTCCACGTGAAAGACATTTTACCACCAAGCTACCCCTTCAATACAATACTTGTACTGAACTTGTAAGACAAATGTTCAAGGCAGCAGTGTCAGGAGTGTGATTTCATCATGCATTTCAAATGCCTATGTGATAATATACGAAAAAAAGGAAACGCAAAAGGAGTAACATCTAATGTGGCTGACAGAGTGTTGCCGATATCCTACAACATTAATACCCAAATGAATTGGCCGTTTCTGCATGGATTGGGAATGATTTTGTAGAAGAAATGTGGAACTGCAGATGTCTCGGGAAAAAAATGGGAAAATCGCAAAAACAAAACCAGGCGAGGACCTGGTCACGAAACACACAAACATGACATGCTCGTGCAACTGTAACAGGGATTAATTATATCGTGTACATAAATGTATAATTAATCAGTTTAATCTTATTTCAGGTTTTAGTGTTTCGGCAGACGACGATTGGTTTATATAGATACACGTTGCAATTAGTTGTCAGTCCGACTGTCTCTTGCTTTTATGTTTACTGCACAGTTCTGTGTCACAGGGCTTGTCACATTTTAGGTATAATAGTATATGGGTTGGTCTATTTTCCTGTCATTGTCTTTGGTGTTTCAACAAAAGCCCAGGCCTAGCTTCTCACTTGATTGGTCCTGTTTCAAATAAACATGTCATCCGCCATGTTACTAACTAGTCACTCTATCATTGCATGAGGATTTCACAACAGCTTAAATATTGTTCAACTCAAAGGTTAGTTAGTATACGTTTTAGTTGTTATATAAATTGTAGAATAAAGTCTAATATAAATCATTGTATAAAATAGGTATAAATATGTTCATGATCAACCTAGTGTAAGTATATACACAATCTACCATTTAATCTGTATGAATGTGCGTATGGTTTGTTTTCTATGTTTAATTTGGTCAATATGCTGGCTAGTAATTATTGTTTTGTAACTGTTTACTGTATGATGTAAGATTGATATATTATCAATCCTGTATTATTGGTAATATTGTAGAAATACATAGTGGTGGTCACAATAATGTTTATATGTTTCAGAAAGTATAATGGTAGCCCTTTTATATATAATCTAGTTGTCAAGAAATACATTTGATCAATGTATTATCCCTGATATAGGTTTACTATACGAGTTTGCTGTCGGGCTACTTGGTGAGTGGACACACTCCCGTGTCACCCACAGGGTAGGTTTCTTTGTACAGACTATATAGTCTGTTTCGTTATTGTGCCTTGTTATTATTATAGTCTTCATGTCCACAGATATTTTGTTCATCACATGTAAACTTGTGGTCATATAGAGTCATTTGTAATGTATTATTGTGTTATACCTGTATATGATTATTTATATGCGCATTTATGTACTTAGTTTATAATGATGATATGTTCACAACGTGTGATTTTATTTTATGTAAATTGTTTATTTATTATTATTACAGAGTGTCTTCTTCCACTATCATAGAATAAACGGATGTGGTTTATGTACATGACAACCTAACACCAGTATCTCATGGCTGCAACACAACATCACTTGTTGGGCTATAAAAACATTTGATTTTCATGTGCATGCTAACGCAATCTTATAGCCAGTGAAAAGCGAAAACATGCAACAACTGACGGAAGCCCAACGCAACAACGCCATTGGCCGACTAAAAACAGCTGTAGCAACGTTTTTCCACGTAGCACCAAGCACCATTACAAGACTGTGGAACCGTTATCAGACACACGGGACAACACGTGGTCCTCCCACATCCGGCCGACCGCGTATCGCTACTAGAGCACAGGGCAGATTCATTCGGCGACGTTACTTACGTGACAGAGCCACCACAACCACCGCTACAACTACAACTACGACAACACCCGGATTGCGTAGGACAGCCGAGACAGTGAGGAACCGTTTACGCGCTGAAGGTATTCGCACTATACGACCAGTTCGAGTTGTCAATGTGAGGCACCTGCATCGTCGGCTGCGACGTCGGTGGCGTGAAGGTCATAGAGTATGGCCAGAACTGCGATGGAGACACGTTTGGTGCAGTGACGAGTCACATTTTATACTTCGTCGTGAGGAAAGCAGCCGTCATTGGGAATGTTATGCACGAAACTGCATACAGGAAGTGGACAAATTTGGTGGTGGTAGTCTGATGATGTGGGCAGCCATCTCCTACACCTGTAGAACGTATTTGGTGCAAGTTCTCGGGAATTTAAAGGCACAACGTTACACGGATGAGATCCTTCGGCAACACACCCTTCCTATAATGCAAACAAGCGAACGTAACTTTTCCAACTTTTTCTCCAGGTTTAAACCCAATCAAAAAGTAATGGGATACACTGGATCAACGACTGCGAGCACGTCAGCAACAACCACGGAACCTCCGACAGTTGGCACAGGCACTGCAGGCAAGGTGTGTGAACATTCCCCAGGCCACAATTCGGGATCTGATTGATTCCTGGGACGACGATGCCAGTCAGTTTGGGACTCTTATGGTGGCCATACAAGATATTGAGAACAGATCACCTTCACCTTGAAAATCTATTTACTGTGTGTGCATATGGAACCTGGGTCATTGATAATGATGTGTGCCAATTGTGAACAAGCGATTACCATCTGTTGATTAATTATATGAGAGATAACATAAACATCTAACCTCACTTTGGCGTTTCCTTTTTGCAGATTTTATGATATATGACATACTACCGCTGTTGAAAGTTATGTTTGGTGGAAAAACCTGACATAATGCTTATTTATCTAATAGAAAAGTAAAACAAAAACGTGTAAGAAGAAACACCGTCAAAGGTCAACTCATCAAAACATGACTGTTTAACTGGTTTTAAGCGAATGGTGTCTGAATGATATGACAATATTTATTCAGCGCCTTGAAGCCATAACGGTGCTGTATATGTAAAAACCTTCATAACAGATGTAGTATTGCTTTACAAACAAAGCTTATTGCCCCGAAGGTATCTGTACAAACAAAACAAGATCATGTATGTGCAATACTTAACTGACTAAACGTAGGAGACACATATGTCACTCTAGGCACACAGGGGTCCAATTTCCTATGAAAAACGTTGATTGCATACTCCCGCAAAATTACAATACTTAAAATCCCAATAATATGACGATTGCGTATTGAATTGCATGGAAAGAAGTAATATAAATTTTGCCTCCGGATTTGTAGACTGACTGAAATCCGAGGCTGAAATATATGGAGGTTATCACGCTTGTGTGCTTGGGGATGTTAAATATCCTGTATTAGGAATCGCCAAGGCTCGCAAAATACAATGTTTATTCCTAATACGGGATATTTAACATCCCCAAACACACAAGCGTGATAACCTCTTTATCATATAATGTCATTCTTTAATTCTGTGCTTGAAAGTCGCTTTCCCTCTCTCACAAACATTACCGAAACATTGCGAGTTTTCCTGGAATGCGCGCATTAATATTTATTACGTCACAGGGTAAGTGATGTGTCAGTCGGACATTGACAGTAGCCAATATACTTCCAACTGAAATCTGTTTCTTATACAGTGGCGAAGCAAAATATACGCAAAACAACAATTGTTTTTACTTGCTTTTCGCGGCAATCCATCGGTCTGTCCGCTAGAGTAACTGCCCTTTGTCAAAGGGAAGCTACTCTAACCCTAGTCTATGAGACGTCATGGCCAGGATCAGACGTTGTTGACAGTCGGCCTGTCAGGTCAAAACGTTAGAATTGCAATCAGATGTACACACAGCGACAAAACGAAACAAGGTAACAATTAAAACATATTTGGGCCAAATCCAACTATTTTAAATTGTGGAAAGGTTTCAAGCCGCAGAGGTCTACAAGCACAGATATGGCTACTGATCCCGCTTGGATAGGCCTAGTGCCCTCGCAAAATTGTTTCAAATTTATATCTCCAAAGTTGCCAATAAAATATAAAATACCTTAGCGACGTCACAGTTAGACACTGATTTTAAGTATATTAGACTGTTCTTTTGATAATGATAACAATTTTTCTATGTAGTTTATCCAGATTCCCGATGGTTAATTCTGACTCGATTGCCGAATGACAAGGGCGACGCCATGTTTGTTTATAAACACTGAAAGTAGTCCCTACTTGACCTTTGATATTTGCATCTCTATCCGTATATGACCCCAACGGATATCGTTTTTATCCGGTGGCTTTATCCTGCCGAGAAACCTACCCATTATATGATAAATTACTGTCTGTGTAACTCTTACTTTTCATTCACGAACACATCAATCACGAAAACAACCGGTAAATAGATAAGCATTTTCTTTGAAATGTTTTCCCCTGGCCATTGAGGAAGGAACTCAATTTATATTATATATACATTACGTATGAGCACAAACATCGTAAACATAATATATGGGTAGAGGAGGTAAGTTGCCTGTTTATTGAAGGTGGCATTTGAGTGTTTAGTGAGAGTGGATATGTATTAATTCATCACCTGCGAACTAAGTTATAAATGGAATATAATTGTTAAACGTTGATACCGGATCTTTACATGTAAGAGTGGAAATTTATTCTTGAGGAACCAAAGAGCCTGACAATGTTCCATCTGCATGTTTTTTGAAGATTTCATTGATCCTTTGATCAGATGTTAGACATGTATTAAACATGTGCGTGTGAATGTCAATCACTGCAACGCATGAGTGAGTTTGTGGAGCTCTGAACAGTATTTCAGTTACCACAGCGTAGTATTTACACTGTTATGAATTCAGTTATTGAAACAGGTATTTTTGTTATTGTTCAGGTTAGTGTCAGCTTTTCGTTTACTTCCTTGTCAATCCGTTTTTGTTGTGATTTTTACATGATAAAGTAAACGTTAATGTACTGAATCATCAGCCAACTTGCTCCAGTGTGACGAGTGTCTGTAATGTTTATGTCCACGTGTTAATTTTGTGTGACTGCCACATAAAGATTAACTATTTTCAGTACTATTTTACTTTTTACGCCCAATGGAATCTGTTACGGCAGATAACCGAAACGTTTTATGTTAGTCTTGAAATCCCACTGCCTGCACACGGACAACCGCGATCTGGATATACCACTTACTGGGATGCTCAAACTTTGGGCCGGACTCCTCGCCCTCGGCTGCTTTGTGTCCTATTTTGTGAACTGTAATTGAGACTTCGAGGTTTCTTGGACTACAACTTTAAGCATCTACAATATCACACCCGCTGTCGAATTGGGCTTTTTATGACAAGCTAAGTTAATAATGAAGGTTTCGAACAGCGTATCTTGGCACAACTAAGGGGGGGGGGGGAATATATTCATCGTACTGGGGGGGGGGGGGGGGATATATTCATCGTACGTGAGGTATAACAGGCAAAACAACACGAGCAGGTTTAGGACATGGCATACCCTCTTTGGAAATAGACAAGAGGCATGGCTCCTTCACTATATGGTGTCAATACTGCCAATGCAAGGATACACTTCGATAAAAGCGACAAAACCCTATTCATCATAAGAAATCCGTTGTATCAATCCGACTATATTATAAATACACACTTTCTCAACATCGCAAGCTAATCTTCATTCTACTTCGACGTAATTGATCACAAAACGTAATTGATCACAAACTCTTTGTTATAGTGAAATGGGTGACATGGCAATGTATTAGTCGTTAGGTGTTTTAAAGTAGATTACCAATTTAAATTAGAATTAAGAAATCGATCATGATCATATTGCCCTTTATTCAGTTCCCCATAAATATATTTTACCTTCACGAATGAGCGATACTTAAATAGCTATTCGGTTTGATTATAATATCTGAGATCTGATTACATCAACAATGCATATGGCAGTACACGCGTGACCTCCTCACTCAGTGATGTCTGTGCAAAATGATTCAGGAAATGGACCGATCCAACTTTTGGATAACAGTTTTCTATCAACTGAAATGTGTTCAATGTCTCAAACAAACCGAAACACAACACCAGATTAGATAAGGCTGTAACTATTATGATTGCTCCTTTCAATAATTGTAGCAACATGTGCTACAACACAATTTACTTCATTCAGGTTGGGGACCCGTGAAGATTCCGGGGTAGAATAGGTCTTCAGCAACCCATGCTTGCCGTAAAAGGTGACTATGCTTGTCGTAAAAGGCGACTAACGGGATCGGGTGGTCAGGCTCGCTGACTTGGTTGATGCATGTCATCGATCCCAATTGCGTGGATCGATGCTCATGAAATTAATCACTGGATTGTCTGGTCCACACTCGATTATTTACAGACCGCCGTCATATAGCTGGAATATTGCTGAGTAGGGCTGCAACGATTCAGGAAGGTCACGATACGATACGCATCTCGATATTCTGGTCACGATACGATACGATACGTATCTCGATACGCAATGACAAAAAAAACAAGACTTAAAGCATGTAAAGATTGAACCTTTCATGATTTTGGAACAGTCAAAATTATTTTATAATAACAAGACTACTGAAGTTGTTCAACTTTCCTTCAAAACAATTCAAAGTTCAAACACCAGAAAATAATTAATGTACTGCACCAGTGATTCAACTTCAAAGAATTTTGATGCAATGGTCGAAGAAATTGTCTCTGAATTTATTGTTTTATCAGGAATAATTTATTCCAATATCGTGTTACCTTAGTTGCAGCTTTTACTATATAATCATATATTTATAATTATAAGAACCACAAGTGTAGCATTTTGGTACTGGTGATTGCTGTTGCAGGATATTTTTACGTATGGAACAATTTGACCAGTCACCCAAGGGACTTCCCGTGCTACATGTATTTCGATTGCGCTAACGTTATGTTGACATATATTAGCCAAATTGCCACAAATATGACTTTTAACGAGTCAAAGTATGGCATTTTTAATATATGTATCCATTCTCGGACAACTAAAGTTCGTTTCAATGCGTCAAAAGCGGTAATCTTACCGTGGTTGCTGTATCTCTTCACACACGATTTCACATAACTTAATGAAAACAATATTAAATGAAATTTTGAATAAAATTAATAAAATATATTACAAACACAAGTCCAGATATACAATGAACACGTTTTAATAACAAGATAGTATAATAATGGTATTGAATTGCGTACTTCAGTTCGGATTTGCTGACTGGTATTTTCGGTGTTATGTGCTTGCGGTGATCAGCTGATAATGTTTTATGAGATGGGGAAAAACATCTGTCGGTGTAAAACCTGAGCTTATTAAAAATGTAAGTACGTTTTGGGGAGCCATGCGTTAGCGCGCGCTATAACCAAGTTAGCGGTTTATTGAAAGGCACAATACCGAGGAAACGCTGTACTTGAGATTTGCGTTCCGTATCGTGGCGTATCGATAAATGGGCCCACGTTTATCGTATATCGTATCGTGGGTCAAGTATCGCGATGCATCGGAATATCGGTGTATCATTTCACCCTTATTGCTGAGTGCGGCGTTAAACAAGAAACCAAACCAAAACCATTCAGGTTGGGTTTACCCTCATTCGATATTAGAGGTATGTACTTCAGAAACTATCAACCGTTATTTGAAGTGTTCAACTGTGCTGTTTTTTAAGAAGACATAAAACCCATACAAAGGGAGAGTCCAGCAAATATACCACAAATCCCTGTGTCAAAGATAAACCATAAAGCCTAATATAATCAAGGAAGGACTATCTTTATATTAAAAGAAAGTATTTGAGACAAGTGGAATTGATACCATGTAGATTCTCAAAAAGTCAAAGGATTTACTTGACTTTTTACAGTCTCAGAAAAGAACCAGGTTCAATTATGTCAAAACATATGATTTGTCAACTTTGTGCACCACTTTCCAACACAACAAACCTGAGAAACTCCATGACAATAGTCACGAAACGTGGTGACCATGGATGTAGACAATTTGACTAAAATGAAAGCAAATGACATCTAAAGTTTACTGAGGAAACAATATTTGAAATACGGGACTTCCTCATTCATATCAGTGTGAAATGTAGGGACAAGACATTGGGGCAAGAATTAGGCATTCCCATGTGCACCAATTGTGTTCCCTTCCTTGCTCATCTGTGTTTTTATGCATACGAATTGGAATTTCTATGAGGATTGGAAGAGTACAAAATGAGAATTTGGCAAGGAAGTATAGCTTAACCTTCAAGTATATCGATGATTTTATACCAATAATGGTCATATAGAAAATTCTCTTCCACTGATTTACCTACCTGAAATAGGAAAAGAAGACCTGTGAAACAACCTCGTCCGTTTCATATTTAGATTCGAAGTGACACAACATTTTCCACAAGACTACATGACGTTACCTTTCCAATAGTCATCTTTCGCTTCTCGTTAAGCAATATTCCAGCAGCTCCTTCTTTTGGTGTCTTCATTTCATAACTTTAGAGGTACAATCGAGCATGCCTTTTATACGAAGTTTTCAAAGTGTGTCATGCGATTCTTGCGAAAAACATTGACCAGGGTTACAACATTCAAGGCCTAAGCAAAGATTTCAAAACATTTCATGGTAGACACGCGGAGGACATTTTCAAAATTGACGCATCAGTGATCCAAAGGACAATTAGCCTTTGCATATGTTTGTCACGGGTGCCACCGTCGGTGCAGGGTACGCTCACCTTTCCGCGAACGTACGGTATTATCACTATTGGAGGGTTATTCATAAACACGTGTTAGTTTTTATTACATTTCAACACAGTATTACATTTTACCGCAGTTTATTACAAGTTACGTCGTAACATCATGCTAACGATATAGTTGATATCGACTCTGATTTCGTGGAGATTTCTTATAATTTTGAGGAATGGTATTTGTCGCTTATTTAGATAAGAATCGGGAGCCTTCAAACATGAATATTTCGATTACAAACAAAATGTACAATGTTTTAGCAATGTTTTAACAATGCTCTGTTCTCACAAGCTTTGATATGCTGACAGGCATACAATACTAATTAAAATGACTAATTCCGTGTTGAGAGAAACTGTTCTGATTAACCACATCGCACAGATAATGTTAATTTAGGTTCGAAATTAAGTTCCAGATCTCGGTAGAACTGTGTACACCGAAAGCAATATTGTCAGAGACGGCAATATTGAGGAGTGAGTATGGTTTACGCCGCTTTTAGCAATATTCCAGAAATGTCACGGCGGTGGACACCAGAAATGGGCTTCACACATTGTACCCATGTCGAGAATTGAACCCGAGTCCTCGGCTTGACGCGAACACCGTAACACTCACAGTATTGTGGAAGATTAAATACAGTGTATGTGATCTATTTGCAAACATGAATAACAAAAGAATGTGATGTTAGCTAAAAGCACAATGAATACGCACTCGTCGTACGACCAGATAGAAAACAACTTCTTACGGAGCTGCAGCTGGACGTCCAACAACTTCTTACGGAGCTGCAGCTGGACGTCCAACAACTTCTTACAGAGCTGCAGCTGGACGTCCAAAAACTTCTTACAGAGCTGCAGCTGGAAGTCCAACAACTTCTTACAGAGCTGCAGCTTGACGTCCAACAACTTCTTACAGAGCTGAAGCTGGACGTCCAACAACTTCTTACGGAGCTGCAGCTGGACGTCCAACAACTTCTTACGGAGCTGCAGCTGGACGTCCAACAAGTTCTTACGGAGCTGCAGCTGGACGTCCAACAACTTCTTACAGAGCTGCAGCTGGACGGCCAACAACTTCTTACAGAGCTGCAGCTGGACGTCCAACAACTTCTTACAGAGCTGCAGCTGGACGTCCAACAACTTCTTACAGAGCTGCAGCTGGACGTCCAACAACTTCTAACAATGCTGCGGCTGGACGTCCAACAACTTCTTATAGAGCTGCAGCTGGACGTCCAACAACTTCTTACAGAGCTGCAGCTTGACGTCGAACAACTTCTTACAGAGCTGCGGCTGGACGTCCAACAACTTCTTACAGAGCTGCAGCTTGACGTCCAACAACTTCTTATAGAGCTGCAGCTGGACGTCCAACAACTTCTAACAATGCTGCGGCTGGACGTCCAACAACTTCTTACAGAGCTGCAGCTGGACGTCCAACAACTTCTTACAGAGCTGCAGCTTGACGGCCAACAACTTCTTACAGAGCTGCAGCTGGACGTCCAACAACTTCTTACAGAGCTGCAGCTGGACGTCCAACAACTTCTTACAGAGCTGCAGCTGGACGTCCAACAACTTCTTACAGAGCTGCAGCTGGACGTCCAAAAACTTCTTACAGAGCTGCAGCTGGAAGTCCAACAACTTCTTACAGAGCTGCAGCTTGACGTCCAACAACTTCTTACAGAGCTGAAGCTGGACGTCCAACAACTTCTTACGGAGCTGCAGCTGGACGTCCAACAACTTCTTACGGAGCTGCAGCTGGACGTCCAACAACTTCTTACGGAGCTGCAGCTGGACGTCCAACAACTTCTTACAGAGCTGCAGCTGGACGGCCAACAACTTCTTACAGAGCTGCAGCTGGACGTCCAACAACTTCTTACAGAGCTGCAGCTGGACGTCCAACAACTTCTTACAGAGCTGCAGCTGGACGTCCAACAACTTCTTACAGAGCTGCGGCTGGACGTCCAACAACTTCTTATAGAGCTGCAGCTGGACGTCCAACAACTTCTTACAGAGCTGCAGCTTGACGTCGAACAACTTCTTATAGAGCTGCGGCTGGACGTCCAACAACTTCTTACAGAGCTGCAGCTTGACGTCCAACAACTTCTTACAGAGCTGCAGCTTGACGTCCAACAACTTCTTATAGAGCTGCAGCTGGACGTCCAACAACTTCTTACAGAGCTGCAGCTGGACGTCCAACAACTTCTTACAGAGCTGCAGCTGGACGTCCAACAACTTCTTACAGAGCTGCAGCTGGACGTCCAACAACTTCTTACAGAGCTGCAGCTGGACGTCCAAAAACTTCTTACAGAGCTGCAGCTGGAAGTCCAACAACTTCTTACAGAGCTGCAGCTTGACGTCCAACAACTTCTTACAGAGCTGAAGCTGGACGTCCAACAACTTCTTACAGAGCTGAAGCTGGACGTCCAACAACTTCTTACGGAGCTGCAGCTGGACGTCCAACAACTTCTTACGGAGCTGCAGCTGGACGTCCAACAACTTCTTACGGAGCTGCAGCTGGACGTCCAACAACTTCTTACAGAGCTGCAGCTGGACGGCCAACAACTTCTTACAGAGCTGCAGCTGGACGTCCAACAACTTCTTACAGAGCTGCAGCTGGACGTCCAACAACTTCTTACAGAGCTGCAGCTTGACGTCCTACAACTTCTAACAATGCTGCGGCTGGACGTCCAACAACTTCTTACATAGCTGCAGCTGGACGTCCAACAACTTCTTACAGAGCTGCAGCTGGACGTCCAACAACTTCTTACAGAGCTGCAGCTGGAAGTCCAACAACTTCTTACAGAGCTGCAGCTGGACGTCCAACAACTTCTAACAGAGCTGCGGTTGGACGTCCAACAACTTCTTACAGAGCTGCAGCTTGACGTACATCAACTTCTAACAGAGCTGCGGTTGGACGTCAAAAAACTTCTTACAGAGCTGCAGCTGGACAGATGTTGACAGACAGGAATATATACAACGAACATCCACTAAAAGATATTTGTGAAATACGACACCAACTGTGACGTCAACTGTTTCAACTACGACCGAGACAAAGTCGGTAGTCACACATGTATAATCACGCAGAGCATGTCGGTTTTAATCCTGTTATTCCTGACGTGAAGGACACAAGATGTTGTTGTTTGGTTTGGTTTGGTTGTTTGGCGCCGCACTCAGCAATATTCCTGCTATATGACGGCGGTCTACAGGTGTAAATAATCGAGTCTGGACCAGACAATCCAGTGATTGATATCATGAACATCGATCCACTCCAATGGGATCGATTACATGCTTCAACCAAGTCAGCGAGCCTGACCACCCGATCCCGTTAGTCGCCTCTCACGACAAGCATGGACGCCTTTTACGGTAAGCATGGGTTGCTGAAGACCTATTCTACCTCGGATCTTCACGGGTACAATATGTTGCAGTTAATTGAAATGATACAAACGTTGTCGGTTAGCCTGATCTATCTCATTCGACTGATATTAACGCTTTTGTTGTATTTCCTGCTATTTATTTCATCTTTTATTTAAAGAGGGAGACATTATGTTTGTGAAAAACGTAAACGCTATTATTCAATCCAACTGTTATTACCCATACTTTGGGACCGACCATTAAATATTCTGTGGGTGGGCGGCCTGGGATCTTATCGAAAAAGATAAGTTGCCCTAGAAAATAAAATGTTTTAGATTGTTTCTAAAACAGTTAGATTGTCTGCCAAACAAACACACATGGCGACATGGCGGTTTAAAATGTTTTGGCTCAAAGTTTGTCATTTAGTTGTTTGTCGTTCGGCGAGTCGAGTTAATGGGTTTTTTTTATATTTAAAATGTGGGACTGCTCTCATTAAGTTCATAACGCATTATTAGACCCGTAAAGATCCGGGGTAGAATAGGTCTTCAGCAACCCGTGCTTGCCGTAAAAGGCGACTATGCTTGTCGTAAAAGGCGACTATAACGGGATCGGGTGGTCAGGCTCGCTGACTTGGTTGATGCATGTCATCGATCCCAATTGCGTGGATCGATGCTCATGATATTAAACACTGGATTGTCTGGTCTAGACTCGATTATTTACAGACAGTCGTCATATAGCTGGAATATTTCTGAGTGCGGCGTTAAACAACAAACAAACCAACCAACCAAACCAAACCATTACGCATTAATTTACAGTATGTATGGCGATGAGAAAAGTTAGATGTAAATTGTATTCATCGCAGACGTCTGAAACTAAAATTAATGTTCTGAGGCCTTTCACAAAACATAGGACCTGTGAAGATCCGGGGTAGAATAGGTCTTCAGCAACCCATGTTTGCCTAACGGGATCTGGTGGATAAGTTCTCTGACTTGGTTGATGCATATCATGGTTTCTCATTAGCGTGGATCGATGCTAATAATGTTAATCACTGGATTGTCTGGTCCAGACTTGATTATTTACAGACCGCCGTCATATAGCTGGAATATTGCTGAATGCGGCGCCAAACAACAAACAAACACACAAACAAAACATAGCCGGCTTCCCTCTCCACAGAGCCATCGTGACGCTAAGTGTGGCGACCGAGAAAGTCAACTATAGGGTATGACTATGTTGAACTATGGGGCTGTAGGAAACGATTGCGTAAGTTTCACAACCTGTGTCCGATTGTCTTCTTACCATAAATTATGTTTCACAAAAAGAAGACAGTCATAGCAGTACAAACGGGTTGTTTCAAAAACTGGCCATTGTTCTGTCAACACTCGACTGACCTAAATTTATCGTGTCGACAACAACATATCAAGGCCATTACATAACAAATAGAAGCTATCTTATACATGTATTTCGGTCAGAATAATAATCATAGCCTTCTAACGGTAAAACGTGTATGTTACAGTCGTACGACCAGCGTGAGTAAGTGAAGACGGAGTGGGCACTCGACGATTACCGTTGGTTCTCATGCACAATTTCTGCGCATGCGCAGTTGCATCAGAAGGCTTCTACCTGTGTTGACAAATTTACGCTCTCACTAGATTGTGAACATTTACTCGGGAAGGAAGACATAAAGAGTTTATTTCAGAACAGAAATGGTGAGTTATACTTTCTTTTGTGACATATGTATTTGGTAGCTTTCATGAAATTGCTTTCTCTATATTTGCAGTAAGTTGTCATCAACTTCGGCCATCTCACAGTTGAGTTAATAATGTAAACGTGGTAATAAGTTCACAAGTTTATTACTAGCAGCTAAATATGTCAAAAGATGACAATATAAGGGATAAGGTGAGGTGAGGTTAAATTGGGTTTAACGTCGCGTCCAAGATTATTGCACTTATATAGCGACGTGCATGCACGTGTGTGTGGCTGCTCGTACTTGTCCGGACTGATGCCGATTTATAGTGCTAGCCAACTGAGATACCATGCAGCAGTTTAACATGAATACCCCACTCAGACACAGTAAACTGACTCCGACCGACCAGTCCTTGTTTTAGCCCCTTAATGCCGAGCGCCAGACAGGGTAACAACAAGTACCATCTTTGAACGTCTTTTGGTATGACGCGGCCGGGGATCGAACATTCCGCTCTCCGGGCGGACGTCTACCACTAGACCACGGAGGCGGTCTATAAAGGATAAAAAATACAGTCTATACTGACAAATAACACTGACTAAATAAATCAGAGCAAATACACAAGCAGATTAGCTTAGTAACTGTATTACAGCAATGAATTGCGAGTAGCTAAAACAACATTTTGACAAGATATTGACAAGATGCATAGACAGCCAATTAAGTCGGCTGCGACCAATTATTACCCGAGTTAATTAACTCAGCACTCTAATGAGTGAATAACATCGGCTGGGTTAAATAACGGGAAATAAACACAGCGGGACTATCCCTATTAAAAGTCATGTACAATAAAATAGACGAGAACGTCTGAATATCAAACTAACCTTATAGACTAAACACTCGGCCACTTTGACCGAGCAAGGCAGTTAAAAAATTCCCAAAACGCTAGACGATCACGGGAAGGTTGGTTATCCACGGATTACAGAGCGTGAAAAACCATAGCTACTGGGGATCACAAGTGTCCCGTAATCACTTACTAACGAAACCTGAATTTCGAGTGACCAGCCAGTAAGAAATCGACCCGTAAATGGCAGAGCTGTCCATCCTGCCTAAACCAGCCCTACTCCCGACCCCGACCCCAACAGAAACAAACACTCAGGCCCAAACCCATTTCAAATCGTCCCTCACCATACCACTACCACACAACCAACCCCCATCTCATCCCCAGACTCAACACCACACACATCACAACCACGCCCCTCCCACCACTACTCAACAAGAAACAGAAAAGCATTCCTGGCAAACAGAATTCAAAACCTAGAATTAACACCCTCAGCCCCCCATAGCCCCACAAAAATGACAATGACATAAACAAACTCGCAGAGTGTATAGCAGCTGCCCTCCTTATTAGATAACCTACTGCAATGAAATACCATGGCATTGCTCAAGTCCAAAACTGTGCCAAAAATCTCCAGCTTTCTAACAGCTTTCCACATTCTAAAAGTAAACTAAAATGCACTTAAATACACATAAAACACAAATCAGCACCATCACCTTGTCTTTTAGACCCTATTTCTTTGTTTGTTTGGTGTTCAACGCCGCACTCATCAATATTCCAGCCTTTTGACAGCGGTCTGTAAATAATCGAGTCTGGACTAGACAATCGAGTGACGGGACATCATGCGCATCGATCTACGCAATTGGGATACGGTGACATGCATTTACCAAGTCAGCGAGCCTGAAGACCTGTTTTAACCCGGAATCTTCACGGGACGACCCAATTTCTAACTGGTGATCATTCAGTGGAACTGCAATTGTCTCCGAGCAAACGGGCTTGAGGCACTTCATAATAAATAGGGGCGGTCGGGTAGCCTAGTGGTTAAAACGTTCGCCCGTCACGCCGAAGACTTGGGTTCGATTCCCAACATGGGTACAATGTGCGAAGCCCATTTCTGGTGTCCCCCGCCGTGACATTGGTGGAGTATTGCTAAAAGCGGCGTAAAATCAAATCACTCAGTCATAATAAAATAATCTACAAGTTTGGCGAAGCAACAATTGACACCTCCGACTCCGTCATATATGGCTAATTTATGCCATGGCCAGTTGCGTGTTTCTACAAGCCTTTATAGAATTGTTACCAGCCTTGTTCGGTAAAGAACTTGAAATAATTGAATGTACACAATGTTGCTCGCCATATACAAGGGTTTGGTAAAAGACATCCAACCGGTTCGTTTATTTCTAACTTGGGAATGTGGTCAATGAATGGCTACATTGATAAATGTAGATTACAGTTATTAGGAAGGCTCAGTAATATGGCTTGTAACTCAATAACAAAAGATCTATTTTGTGCTCACATTATTACTAACGCTATTGTCAATATTAGCCGTCCAGTAAGCATATGCAACATTCTTCTATATACTGCTAAAAACATCATTTAGATAACTATATCAAAGAATATACTGATAGTGGTTCATTCCCAACTAAATCGCCTTGGCGAGCTCTTGTTATCAGACGTCTATCAGAGAATAAACAAAACATTTTGAGAGGGAGACTAGCACAGAGACCAGATCTTTCACGGTACCATAAAATTCATAAACGGTTACAAACACACGTTCTTTATAATGTAAGGTATCTCTATCCACAATGAAGACAACCCCTGCTACTTTGTATTAACATCGGATCAAGAGCAAAAGTGTCGAAGAATCTAACCATTGTAATAGACATTGCTAAGACTATGATTGCCATATTATTTTGCACTGTGAAATGTTTATGCCTGACAGAAATAATTTCTTCTCATGCCTGATTGATAAACTTGATGTAGATGTAAATGTGAAAATAGATATGCTTGACGATAATGACATGCTTTCATTCTTTCTCGGTGCAGATGTCCATGCCTTGACTAACAAACTTGATTACGATACTTGGCAAA